TTATCTGGACCAACATTAACAGGTCTTATTCGTGGTTTATCAACATTTGTTCAACTAATCGAAAGAGATACATCATCACATAAAATTACATTCCATGCGTAAATATTGTTGATCGACCACGATTTCCATGGCGAGGTTTATCACTTGATGTGTCTCGTCATTGGATGCCTGTAAATGTGGTTGAACGAACATTAAATGCAATGGAATTGGGTAAACTTAATGTTCTTCATTTACATTTATCAGACGATCAAGGTTTTCGTGTTGAAAGTATTGAACATAATTTATTACATGATCGAAAAGATTTTTTTACTCAAAAAGATATTCGACATCTTGTTGAATTTGCTAAACAAAGACGTATCCGTATTGTACCTGAATTTGATATTCCTGGGCATACAACAAGGTAATAATTCTTAGGCTAAGAAAAACATATTTTAAATATCTTTTTTAGTTGGTTTGTTGGTTATCCAGAATTAGCGACTGAGCCACGTCCGCATCAAGTTGAAATTCGATGGGGTGTACTGAAACCTACAATGGATCCAACTAAAGATAGTACATATGAATTTCTTGATAGTTTTTTTCGAGAAATGACAGCATTATTTCCTGATGAATATTTTCATATTGGTGGTGATGAAGTTGAAGGTTCTCAATGGATGCAATCTTTAGCAATTAATACTTTTATTAATAAACACAGACTTGGAGATAAAAATGGTTTACAAGCTTATTTTAATAAACGTATACAAAAAATGCTTCGTAAATATAATAAAAAACTGATAGGATGGGAAGAAATTCTTGATGAGTTTCGAGAAAATTTAGCAATTGATAAAGATGCTATTATACAATCGTGGAAAAGTCGAAAATCACTTGCGAATGCAATAGAAAAAGGTTATAAAGGTTTACTTTCTACTGGTTATTATCTTGATCATCTTCAACCAGCAACATATCATTATAGAATTGATCCAATTTTAAATGATGAATTATGGTTATTTAATGAAGAACAATTAAGTCATGTTTTAGGTGGAGAAGCATGTATGTGGAATGAATATGCTTCGCAAGATACTGTGGATTCTCGTTTATGGCCTCGTATTCTTGCTATTGCTGAACGTTTTTGGTCTCCATCATCGATAAATAATCCTGATTTTCTTTACGAACGTCTCTTTCGAATGAGTCATTTACTTGATAAAATGAACACAGGTGTTATACATTTTTCATCCTATAAACTTAAATTAGAAAAATTACTTGCTAATACTGATAAAAAAAAAAGATCTTCTACATCCATTTATAATCTTAGCTGATGTTTGTGAACCATATGGTTTTGAACAACGTAGTCAAAGTAATAAATATACCGCACTTGTACCATTAACAACATTTACTGATGCCTTACAGCCTGAAAGTGAACTTGTTTGGAAATTAGAAAATCTTCCATTTAATGATAAAATGTTTCGTGATATTTTTCAAAGATGGTCGCTCAATGATATACGTTTACGAGAATTATTTGATGATGTTGAAATAGCTAATAGTAAACGATTATGGGGACAAGATATTGGACAATTATCAAAAAATCTTGCTACTATTGGTAAAATTGGTTTACAAGTATTAAACTATGGTGCAAAAAGAATATTACATCCTAATGCAAATGACTCCATGAATTCTTGGCCAATATCACAATGGATGGGATATCATAATCAAATGTTATATCAATTAGAGAATCAAGTTAATGAAGTACGATTAGCTGCTGTAAGACCAGTTCGACGTTTACTTAATTCAATTAAAATATTCACTTAATATTTTTTGTTTGTTTTCGTTTTTTTTTATTCTATTTTTGTTACAAAACTACATCAAAATAAATAAATATTGACCAGTTTAATTAAATAACATTTGTGTTCGCGTTATAATAAATGCTAGAGGGTGTATGTCAAGATATAACCATCAATGTCTTATCATCATCACTGTCAATCGTTTTTTTTTTTCTTGACATAGATTATCCTTGAATAGTGGAATCTAGCAATCGTTCTCAATGATCAAAGAGAAGAAGAAGAAAAAATAAAGAACGTCGTTCAACTTCTCATCTTTTTTATAAGTGTCAACATCATTTATCGTCTTATTTAGTGATTATATCAGTCTGCATACATTCGATAAAGAATATAACTACATCAGGCAACTACAAAAAAGAAATGGATTTAATGTGTTTCGTATTCAAGTAGAGTAAACAGGGCCTGCTGTTGGCGGTTCTAGTTTATATGCATACAGAATACAATCATCATATATTCTACTGTGGAAATGATTTAATCATGCGGAGAAAATCTTTACAAAAACTATACTAACTAGTTACTAATTCAATATCGAGCTTCATTTAACGTGCATTGCCAATCGTATTTACATTTGAAAGATAGCATAAACGAGTAAGAAAAAGAAAAAGTTGAAGTGAAACGGTATATTTACATTTCATATAACAGATTATTTCCTAAGCTGATCTAATTAATATATATAACGTCATGTTTAGATTTTCTTTTATGATTATCAATACTATCTTTATATATTAGGAAAAAAAAAGAATGTTTTTGTAATTTCTTGATTTTTTTATTAGGAAACAACATCTCGGGATTGCAATCTTCTTTTATATTACAATGAACAAATATAATAAAATAAAGGATTGAAGTCTACTCTAAAAGTCTATTAATGACATTTGTCGACACATGCGATTTTTATAGTAGTTGTCATCAATTTATTCTGACGGGTCTATCTATATCATCTACAAGAACTCACTTTTTCTCTCTTCTTACACATGCAAGCTAATCTTATTTTGACGATTAATGAAAAAAGAGGGAAAACTGTCTTTTTTTTCTATAGAAATAAATGTCAATCTGAAAAGTTTATTATAATTTTAACATTCTTTATTTTTAAACACCTTCCGGCTATTGAACTTTATTATTTAATTTTAAATGTCATGGAGTACATATCAGATAATATAATTATCATAATTCTATTGTATTATACGTTCTCTTTCAATGAGATTTTTAATCTTCGATAACTTTCGAATCGATCGAGAAAGAAATTTTGTTGGTTTCGTTGTGCTATGAATCATAGACGAAATAAAAAAATACAAAAAGGACATTGAAAAAGAAAAAAGAGCAAATGAGAAAAAAGAAAGAAGAGAAAAAATAAAGTAATGGTAACTTGCCTACACATATAGTTGAGTGCTTTAATGTTGAAGATCGAGCAATTTCCCGAAAAAGTCAATGCTTTTTACTATTCCCTCCTACCCTACGGACATTATTTTATATATATACAATACCCATCACCTTTTCGAACTTCAATGATTCGTGACGATCTTGTCATCTTTAAAAATTAGTATTTAAATGACTTATGATATATAACCAGTTTCTTGTATCAAGAAACAAGACATTTTTTTTTTGTTTTCTCATGATTTCCGGTTATGAAACACTGAAATGATTATATTAGTTTATATTTAGTCTATCATGTTTTTTTTTGTTCCTTTAAATGCTCAATCAATCGTTCTCATCGTTATTGTCGATAAGTATATTTCTCTCTCTCCCTTTTTTTACATATTTATTCTTTTTTTTTGCTTCTATACTCTCTCTCTGTCTCCTTTTCGCGTCCTTATAGTTAATCCAAAAAAGTGTATGAAAGAAAAATAAATCATTTTTCTCTTTTTGTATAGATCTCCTTGTCTACTTAGTATTTTATGCTCATCAACATTGATAACCTTTCTGATTAAATTCAGTTATGTAAAAGATTTGTAATTCAATCGAAGGATGTCTGTAAGTATTAGATTAGTACTCTATAGATACGAAATTATTACGATTAATTTTGTTTCTTTTGTTTGCAATATCTTGATATTGTTTGCCGTTACATTCTTCATGCTTTTATGAATATAAATTACCTTCAAAAATGTGTAGTAGATTCGTATGTTATGCATGACGAATAAACTTGATCAATTCGCATGTTTTGTCTGCACAAACAATCCATATTCGACCTTCGTTTATATATATTTATAGAACATAAAAAGCCGAGAAATTTTAACGATAAGCAAATTCGAAATGAAAGCAGAAATTTTCAATTTACTATGTTATTGTAAACAAATGCATAGAATGCGATAGAATATTTGATTCCGTATGAAAAAAAAAAGAAATTCTTATTTTCTAGATTTAAAAATAGAATATCTATGTCTAATGGATAATACATCCTATGGGAGTACAAGACATTTATTTCCTTTCTGTGACATTTAATGATTCGATCATTAATTTTGTTTTTTTTTTATACACGTGAAAAACTCAAAGAAGTAATGATCGGTAAAGTAATTCATATAATTTTGTTTTTTCGTTATCTATTTAAAATAAAAAAAGAAGAAATATTTCAATGCATTTATATTATAAGGCATTTTAAGAGAAAAAACTCTTTTTGTTTTTTTTAATAGCATAAATTTTGAAGTGATACTTCATCTAACACTTTTATATCATAATGTGTCGATCATTTTATATTCATTATTGTTCATAACCGGTTTATTACATATAATTTAAATGAATGTATGAGTTGCAGTTGTTATTTATTTCAGGGTAAGTTGATGAAGAAGAGTTTCTTATTTTGTCATATAAATTTGTTTTTTCTTAGTTAAATATTGGTATTTCTTCAACATAGCAAATATTCACTATATTTATGTTTCTTTAAATTAAACAGTATTTTGTTGCATACTAATAATGAATATGTGCACATCATTAATCAAAATTATGCATAGTTTTAAGTTTTTTTTATCAAGATATATACTAGTTTTTTCGTTCTTTTTTGCTATGAGACATATTGTGATTAATGGACAGCCATGTTACGAAAAGGATCTGTCATGTATATAAAGTACAATAATAATAAAAAGAAGAAGAAAAAAAAAACCTAACAATGAAATGCTTAGGCTATACAGAGAATAGTATACGAGAAAAAAAAAACGATTGAATTGAATAGTATGAAGGGGGAAAAGACGAAACATGTTAACGAGTATTGTATGTATGTATCCCATGGGAGTATTGTTAGCATATGTATGAAATAACTCGAGCTTTATCTATGCGTGACGAATTCCTTCCTTATATCGTATGTACATATTTATTTTTATTTGTTTATATTTACAATATTTGCACAAATTTATTGCGTAATAGAGAATAAAATACCTGAGAACGAGACAGCTTGTTTTTATTCATTGTTAGCATTTCAACAAAAAATTTGTATATGTGGGCAATCTGCGCACTCATTAACACATTTTGCTTTTTTTTCCTGTATATAAGCAGAGTATTAAATGTGATAATGTTGATAGGGTGACGTGGTTTTTTTTGTTTATAGTAGTTTTCATCACAATTGCCACTCATCACGTTCTATTTTCTCTTGCTTTCCGCCCATTTTTGTTTTGTTAATTATAATTTAGGTAATCGAATCGTGTTGGTATTTAATCTTATATGAGTAAAATAAGAGAGAACAAAGTAATAGATCAATTTCATCGATTGCTCTACCATAAATCAATTGTGTCGTATAATCGTTGTTGTTTTTTTTGTGATAACTCTACTGTAATTGTATAGAATACTATGATAAGAGAAGATTTATTCTTTCCTTCGTATTTTTTTTACATTAGTTTTGTCTTCGGATTGTACATAGCTATGATAGTTATCAGATACGCTGTATGGTCAGATCAATCAGACTATATTATTCATTTATATGCTTTGTAAAAAAATCATTCGATTTATTATAGAAGAAGATAAAGGAATTTGTTTATGTATTTTTGCTTTGATCAAAAACACTAAAGTAAGAGAATAAATCTTATTATTTTATCATTGTGATGAGTTAATTTTGATCTGTCTGTAATTGGCATGCAATGACACTTGATTCTTTTGCTTTTTCTATAAATATATTTATATGCATGCGAACTCATCGTAATAGGTGTAAGTTAGAAGAGGAGAAAACGGTTTTTTTCTTCTTTTTATCAACTACGTATCTTCTTCCCCTATCCATCTTTCAAGATAATCTATTATTATGAAAGACAAAAAGAAGAAGAAGAAGAAGCAATGTATAGATTAGTATTTCCATTTTGAAAAAAAACGGAGGCTTAGATTATTCCGTTGTTGTTAGTCTATAGATATAAATTCCTATTATCTTGAGAGAAAATGAGCATACGACGAATATATTTTATTTTTTAAGAATAAAAATATTTATGGACCACCTTCTGTGGTATGTTATGTGCAAGCCGCCCTCACTTTTTTCCTTCATCGGACGAGTGAAAATAGTAAACGAAGAAGAAGAAGAAGAAAAAAAAGAAGAAAAAAATTATTCGCAATCGAATTATTCTCCTAGAGAAAAAAAAAACGAGAAAGAAACAAAGTAAACAGATGCACATAAAAAAACGCTGTGCTTTGTGTGTTTATTTCTATTTAGTGTACTGCATATCATATGCATAATTCGTTCTCTTGTTTTTTGTCTATTGGACATCACAAAAGTATTTCGTATTTTCGTCAGGCAACTAAGAAAACAAAATATATGTATATATATTTAAGAGTATTCAAATAATCAAATCTTGAGAAGAATAATTAAAGAAAAGAAAATCGATTCTTTTTTTTTTCTGGTCGAACAATGAGTGACGATTTAGAGTAGCTTCTGTCAATGTGATGACATTTGTTAGAATGACAGTCAATTGCAGTGTTGTTTGTTATTACTATTCTCATTTGACTTGTTTTCTTCGTCATCATTTAACAGGATTTTCTCTATTGGCATATGCCATTCTAACTCGTTAT